GATCAGAGGCCATCCGGCGTCCTCATAGTCCGCCAATGACGGCTCATATTTACGCATTTCTTCCCACAAAAGCTCTTGAGTCTGATCCGTTACCCTGGACCAAGACGTCGGAGCCCAAAGTGTAGCTGCAGATGAACACACACTGCGTTACGCCGCGTATCACACAGTGTGTTATGAGTCTGCTGCAAGGGGCCCTTTGTTTCCTTCTACTGCGCCTCGCCAGTATTCATCTGTGATTGGACGCCTTCTCCTTCCAGCTTTTCTCCTCCCTCCACTGCGGGAGATTCTGACTCTTGACTTGTTGTTGTTGTTTTCTCTGGGGGGGGTGTCTGCATAGTCTGTCAATCATGAATTAGTCGACATCTCATCACTATTTCATCCTCAGCGGAGGTTTTGTTCCTCCTCCACATGTTATTTCTCACCTTGTAGGGATGCTTTACACCAGGGGTCTGCAACGTTTTTCAGGCCAAGGCCCCCAAACTGATGGCGAGATGGAGCAGGGATTATTATATACTGGGCCTAGTGCCATATAAACATAGCCTGTTACTGTGCATCCAATACTAAGCTATTCAAATAATACACAGCTTAATATGTTAAAATAACATATGTTCAGGCTTCACGAGCAAATACAGAATCCCTTTGTGTTCATTTCCAAAGCCGCATTAAGACACACGTCACTTTATTTAATACGCTGCTTGCAAGTCGCTGTGTTGTGCCAGACTCTCAATCAAACATTTAGGACAAACCCACGGTCATGAAGATGCTCATCTAACGTTACATGGACTCTGCGTGAGGAAGAGGAGGAGGAAGAGGAGGAGGCGAAAACCAACCGGGTGTCTGGATGCTCAATGTTTATATTCTCATCCAACCACAATCACACTCACTGTCCGCAGAGCGACGTTTATCTGGATTTATCTCGTTTTTTTGTCTTTGTGTTGTTGAACTGCGACAAGCCGGAAGTAACGAGGCTGTTTTTAAAATGTAAGGAGTAGAAAGTACAGATATTTGCGTGAAAGTGTAAAGAGTAGAAGTAAAAAGTGGTCTGAAAAAGAAATACTGCAGTAAAGTAGATACCCAACATTTCTACTCGAGTACAGTAACAAAGTATTTGTACTTGGTTACTTGACACCTCTGTTGATGATGCTAATGCATGAACCCATGAATCCTTTAAACCATATAATGGTTAATATAAAACAGAAGGAGGTTTGTTTGGAATTGAACGCAGATGTGATGTGAATCCAGACGGGCTCGAGGCAGCAGCACAAATCCACCTCCTACTCCAACAGGGCTTCCACTGTTGAGGTCTAAAAAGCTGGATTTGTATGTCATCCTGCTGTGTGTGTGAGTGAGCGCAGGGAGGGAAGCTGCCTCCCTGTTTCTATAGAAACCAGTATTGTGTGATGGAACGCAGCGTTTGTGATGCGTAACCATGTGTGTGCTGTTCCATGTTGAAGTCCGGTCCTTCCTGGTCGTTTCAGGGCTGCAGAAGGTTCACTTGAAGGCCTTGGACGGGCAGCGGTACTCCACCCTGGAGAGGCAGTGCTTGCAGAGTGGCCTGCTCTTTGAGACCCCCGCTTCCCCGCCATTGACCACTCGCCGTCCCACCACGCCAACAGGATGGGACGCGTGGTGTGGAAGAGGCCTCGGTGAGTGGGAACGTAGATTCAGGGTTTGAGGCTCCCTGTGGGTCTTTCTGATCAGTCATCAGGACCCAAACGCTTGAAATGATCCATTTAGGGGTCTCCTGACGTACAGTATCTGCCCAGGAACATATTATGAGAATGGGGTACGTAAGTGCACCGTGCTAATGCTGCTTCGCCCCCAGCAGGAGCACCGTGTCTGTCTTGCCCGTTAGAGCGTTCCCCCCCCGATGAGTTCTTCACGCCTGGTCAGCGGCCATCAAGCGCTTCTCCTCTCCCTTCTGTGGTCCTCTGGTGCAGGCCGGGCGACCGGACGTATGTTTCGGTGGCAGATGATACCGGATGCAGGGCCTCAGGCCTCAGTGAGCCGACCCCCCCTGACATGATGCTCATGGACTACAAAGTGTACAGCTTCTCTCGGAGTGGCCTGATGAGCTGGTCTCACACTCCCAATGCTGCTGCAGGTGCCAGCTTTGTTATTTCTGAAGGGTGTGCTCCAGCATCTTCACGGGGGGGACGACTTTGGAGACAGACACATTGTCCTCTGCCGACAGCTCTACAGTGGATCATAGAAGGGAGACAGCAAAGAAAGGCACCCTCCAACAATGTGGAACCCTTCTGCTGTAGGAAGGTGATGTCATGTTGCTCCTACTGGCTCCCTTTGCTCCACCAAACGCTGCAGCATCCAACATGTGCTGCTCCATCTGGCCTCCACTTCTTGCATTAGCTTCATGTTTGCCGTCCCCAGATGAAGTTGTGTCAGCTTCTCCTTTAAAGATACAGATGAGTAGCCATTGACTCACTGCAGTAGGAACACAGACAAACTCTCAGCGTTATTAGAAAGTGGGATGAAGGGAAAGAGCAAACCTTAGCAGTGGTGCTGCTCCTAAAGAAGCCAACCAGCTTCCGTGCGTTGGCCCGGATGCCAGAGAGCACCGGCTGCTGCTCAGGTCCCTTCTTCACTGTCAGATTCAGTGTGCAACATAAAATATGGTGGCGAAGCTTCAGCTCTCACACAGGAAACCACATTGGGAGCACCATCAGTGACCACACACGTCACCTTATGATCGATTCCCCATTCCTCCATCAGGGAGGCTTTCACACGAGCTATATGTTCAGCAGTGTGTGATCGGGGGAAGCACTGAACCCAGTGTGGTTTTCTCCCCCACAAAGTGGCACCTTACAGCCAGGTAGGCATCCATACTGATGGATGTCCACATGTCAGAAGTAAGGCTAACAGCAGCCACCTTTTCCACTTTAGCCTTCTCCTTAGCTGACTCCTACTCAGCCTCCACCACGGCCTGCAGAGCCTAAAGGAAAACACATCTAGTGCTGAACTGTGAGACAATGAAGTACTCATGTGTTTCATGCACCCACACATACCTGCCTTGTAGGGAGAACATGATGAGGATCCAGTTTGGACACAAATGCCCTGAATCATCCACAATACTGAAGGGCTGCGTGTCCTTCGCTGTCATGGAGACGAGGCTTCATCCAGCTCTTGTTTTAAAAGAGAATGAATACAGTGTCTGTTACCTGTCTTTATTTGCACAATGAACAACAGTGAATAATTGTGTTGGTGCCTTTGTAATGTTGTAATGACTTACCTTGGCTGGGTGAAGCTCCAGTTTCCTCCTTATTCTCATGCAAGGCACGGTGAGGCCTCAGCATGGAGGAGGTGCTGTTATTGCACCCAAACTCCTCGGAGCACAATAAACACCTCACCTTTGAATCAAATAAGAAACTGAAAAATACAGTTCTTGATAAGCAAACCTAATGTGTCTGAAATAGAGTGAGATTCAGCTCACCTTATTAGGAGTGATCTAATCACAGAGGAAGTCCTCCTCTTCCTAGCTGGCTCCATCTTATCACCTGTCCTTCTCTCCTCACTCTCAACTATCTCTCTCTAAACTCTCCAAACGATATAAACTATCCCAACCATCCAAACTCTAACTGACCAACTCTCCACCAACAACCCACATCTTGAATGGAGCCTGAGGGGTTTATACATGGAAGTAAATCTGAAGCCCTTCCTGAAGCGTCACGTGGTCCCGCCGGGCAGCGAGGCTTCGGACGCCATCGTTTATGGCTCCTCCCCTAAATGAAGCGAGCCTCGGTACGCGCTGCGAGGACACGCCCCCTCAGTTACTCGACACGCGCGAGGCGTCGGCACATCTGGTAACGTCACTAATTTTGACTATTAAAGTCTTTTTGTTTTCAAGCTCTGCGTCTGGGTGCTGCCTCTGCCTTCCCCCATCACCAACTGAGTAATATATGAACATATAAAAACATATAGATTATTAGTGTTAAACATAAATACAACAAACACGTAAACAGAATTACTTGTCAGTCGTAAAAAGGTCACAGCAGCTATATAATAAATAGCTGCTGTGACCTTTGACAGATAATATGAGGACTTTGGAAATGTGAAAAAAGACGTTCATGCCCCAACAAAATGGTCCATGTTGAATTTTGTGGCTCCTCCATCGATGTTTTTTCAAATAAAGAAACAAAAACATAATTCAAGTAAGCAGATGGCTCCATCAGCTAAAAACAAATGAAACGTACAACCATATTTTTTAGAGCAATGCAAATAAAGTTATACCTCTCCATCAAATAACTCACTCTGAATGGTCATTTGCATATTCCAGAAGGCCTCACTGACTCTCCACGTTCCACCTTCCGTGTTCTAACTTCCATGTCCATGTTCCGTTCTCCACAGCTTAAGAACACTCGCGGGTCAGGTAGTTAGCAGCCTTGGAACTGCACACAGGTTTTTTGCAGTGGCCGAACATTGAGAAAAGGCCACAATGACTCTGTGGCCCTAAAAGGACTCGAGGTAAGTGGGGAATCCAGACAGACGTCTGCATTAACTGGTGTTGGTGGTTTACTGGACTTGTCAGGTGGAGAAGTGGGTACCTGGAGATAAACCTCTGATTCACGCTGTTGGGACCTTTTTCTTACGGTGTCTTTTGTGTCTGAGCCGTGAAAGGATGAAATAAGACCATTTAACGCAGCCGGTGGCTTTAGTTCACTACAAATGTTCCCTTCTGTTTTTCCTCGTGTGGAGATGACGATGAAAGCTCTTGGGACAAAACGTCCTCATCCAAAGGGCGCATCCCAAAGAAGAGGGTCCGACGCCGTCAGAGACTTGACACCGGCGTCAGAGCGCCATTGCTCGCCTGATACGAAAGGCCCGAAAGCTCCGGGCAGCGTGTCAGCGTGACTCGAGCAATGAGGAAAGACCAAGAGGAAAGGAAGCACAATCAGAGGAGGCGAGAAGAGGATTAGCGTTTTGTTTACGCTAATTGTAGCCTTGGCTATTTTGGTGTTCTCCTAGTCCGGTAGTAGTTAAGCGCTATTTGGTGACTCTCTGGTGGGTCTTGTGCTTTCTGTACTTCGGGTAAAGCTTTGTATATATATATATATATATATATATATATATATTGTTTGTATATATTAGTATGTATATGATGCACAAAGGTGCAGAAAGACATAGATAAGTGTTTGTTCCACTTCTTGTTAATGTACAGAGAATTGAAATACACAAACAAGGTCACAAGTCAAACCTGAAAACAATAGTTTTATTCATATAGGAATCCATGTGTTTATTAGATGATTTATTGGTTCAACTTTTCATAATCAGAGATTGGGCCAAAATATACTGGTGGGCTGTTCGATACATTTGCACTACAAGTTTTCAACAGCAGACGTCATCATAGAGTTTGAGATGCATTGAATGAATGAACCTTTTTACGATACGATTGGCTGGAAAGCTTCACTGATTCATAAAGCTTCATGAAGCTTCATCTGGCTTCATCTGGAACACACACTAGTAAACAGCAGAATGTGCACAGAGGAACTGAAGTCACACAGAAAGAACTACAGAACAGGAGTTTGCTGGACAACACGAGCAGGAGCTACTGAGCCACGTTACCACGTAGGAGTATTAACAAGGTGCCACTGGAGAGGTGAACAGCCCGGCTCTAAATACTGCAGGGGTGGATCATGGAATGTGGATCAGCTGTGTAGGAATGGAGCAGGATGAACGGCCACGCCTCCTCACCTGCTTCCTCTAGACACGCCCCTTTTCTCTTCTGGTTGATGCTTCAGCAAAACCAGAGCTACAAGACAAAGAGTTTGGCGGCAAATCCGGTTGATGCGCGTGAATCAAACATCGTGGACGTGAACTTCCTCGCTCGCGAGGTTGATCTCTGCTCGCGCTCGAAGGTGTTGTTATTGACAGCAAGGGGGCGGAGCCAGTCACCGGCATCTCCACGTCTGATTGGTTCCACTTTTGGTCCTTGGATTGGCTGGATTTCGTCCCCGTTGACCGTTGTGAATCCCCAGAACTGATGGAGCAGGATGAACGGATCGGATTAACGGTACCTGAGGTGTGCAAGTGGTACATGAAGACAGACAATGTCCCTCTCTGTCTTCTTCACAAATGGCTGTGGAAACCCCTCACGTGAGATCTATGTCACTTCCGTTTTACTTTCACTATGAGTCATTGCTGTAAATCACCGTTAGCTGAGTAGCACATTAGCTGCCATTAGATAGCTGGTATCAGCGTTTTCTGTTAACAACCTTTAAAAAACACTGCAGAGTCCAATCAAAGTTCTGATGAGATAATAATAATAATAATGCTATGATGTCATAACTGAATAAACTCATCATAGGAAAATATTTAAAAGTTAGCTAAATATCTACTGAATTAAACTTTCTTTACAAATACATGTAATATTAAAAGCAGCATCAAGGGTTTGCAGTCAAAATGATTCAGTTTTGATTTGACACAAGATTGAAAGAACTATCTTCACATGTTGTTGTTTTTATGAGCTAATATCCCCCACAACACGCTAGAGAGACGTTTCACAGCAGTCAATGAATATCTTTTTCCTAAAGTGGACATCATTGTTCTCCACAGCGTGTCCTCCGGCCTCAAACGTTGGAGCGTCTCCTGTCAAGACCGGAGCTCGCACTCATTCCCACACACTCCATATGGATTTCCTGCAGGAGGAAAAGACGACTTGTCAACAAGGGCAAAAGTGATGCTGATCAGGATGCTCGGCCTGCGCTTAGTGCTCCTAATGGCCTATGGCACGTTTCACTGCGCCCAAAGGAAAGCCACCAATCAGAGCCTGGAGTCTCCAACACAGCTGTCAATCACTGCCAGTGACACGTTGACAATCAAACCGTCTGATCTAAACATCCTATTAGCTGTTTCAGAGGCATGTTTCAGCTACTGATTAGCAGTGAAACATGTCGGGACAGAAAGCAGTCGAGCCAGGACGTGTCTCCTTGTGGACGTGTAGATTATGTCTCGTGTTCTACAGTCAAGAGACAGTGAGACGTTTCATTGAAGTCACTAAATGTTGCTTTAAAGCCGTCATCACAAAGACATAGTTTCACTTTGTGTGTTTGTCTTGAAGGACACGCTACATCCAGACGGAGGAAGATGAAGCAGGTAAACGGCTACAAATAGAACACAATGAAGCTGAGTAACACACACACACTGAAACACAGAGCATCTCACCAATGGTGAAGCTGAAGCGTCCGTGCAGAAAGTAGCACTGCCGCCCTTTTTAAACGCCTGTTTGTTGGACGTTGGTCGTGTCGTTGGGCTCCTGATGTGCACGGTGTCCCTCAGTGGGTGAGGGGGGGCCGTTCTCTCTGTGCTGCTGTGGACGGGTGTTCAGGGTAAACGCCGCCCTTTTCCTCTTTGCTCTTCGCCCCTCGAGGCTCCAACAACTCTGATCTGCTCCATTGAGACACTTTCATGTCTGATATTTATATTTACTGTGAATTAGTTTCCTCTGCTGCTCCGTCACACACAGCGTTTCTATTGAATGAGAAGCAAACAAAAGCGTGATAGTTAACACCGACAGTCAAGAAGCGTATTCAAATGTTTCAGAGCAGCTGACGTCATCGAGGCAGCTGCTGTCCCATGAAATGAGCGTCCTCTGTTGTCCCCGTGAGTCAGGACCCCCGAGTCTGTTCTCCCCAGAACGCAAGTCCGTCCTCTGCGTCCCATCGTTGAGAAAGGGCCCCACGTGGGAGGTTAATACGAGCAGCGTGGAGATCAGGACCTTCAGCTGCTTCCACGTGTCGTCCAGTCAACAGGGGACACGAGGACAGAGGTCCCTCATGATGCAGCTGTGGACAGTCTTCTCGTATGTTTCTGTTGCTGCTTATTACCCGTCCATGACCAGCCGTTCTCCTGAAGCTCCCCCTGGACCGAGGCGCTAATGGAACCACTGAGCTCCACCACCGGGGCTCCCTGAAGACCTTTACTGGTGCTCTGAGTTCTCTCCGTTCTTCCTGCTGCAGGAACGTCTCCGCGCCCCTCAGCTGCTGTTCATACAGCTGTCAATCATGTTGAATGACACGTGAATGAAGGCGGCACGATGCAGCGCGCTGAGGCCATGCAGAGAAGCTCAAGTAGCGGTGAGCCTTGTAGTGACGTCATTGTCTTAACTCAGGTAGTGACGTGATGTCACCTGTCAATCACAGGTCAGTGGAGCCACGATAATGAAGTAACTGTTGTTCTTTGGTGACTAAAGAGCCTCTTCTTGTTCACAACAACGGGTTCAGTCATCGAGCAGCAGCACATGTGGGATTAGTTCACTTCCTGCTTGTAGTTCACTGAGA